GGTTTTTGCAACGTGACTTAATTTAAACAAATCAAAAGAATAAGCAACTGAAGCTAACAATAAATCTTCAGATTGTATTTGATACTTACGTTCCGCCACAAAATTCTATCGAAGTATCACCCCATTTTGGATTTGATACATCCTGCACGATATCGTTCACATCATATCCTATAGATACTACTCTAACAGGATCAGGATAGACCTCACCGAATACGGCACGAAGTCCGTGAATAGCCTTCGCAACAGATAACGAAACATCCTTCGAATATACAATTTTATTCTTTTTAATGAATTCATTTGAAATTGACTCTACAATAGCTAGCTCATCGTTCGAGACACCTTTCTATCATAATATCAATAGAATAAAATAATTTATTGATAAAGTTCGATTTTATTCGTTATATGAAATGAACTGATAAATACCTTCAGTGAAAAATCAAACCTTAACTTTTCAGGGGCAACCAGTGATCCTTTCTGATCAATTGTATTACCAAAAACTTCTCGTAATGCATAATTTAGAATATGTGTAGCAGTGTGATTGTTCATGAGTAGCTTACGACGTGGCTTTTTATGAAATAAAATAAATCATGGCTTAATCAATAGTGAAAATCAATCGGATGTAATGACCTTACGTACTTCATTATATGAAGCTACCGCTTCATTTTCAACGGCAAATCTACCATATATTAGGCACCCTACATGCAAGACATATCCTGCGAACACCTGTACGTTTTTAACTTCAAATTCTGCTTGAGCATCAACAGTATCAATAGTGATAAAACCAGAGTCATACTGTTGACCGCCTTGTTCTGCATAAAAATTCGTACGATCAAGAATTATGCCGAAGGATTTGCCAGACGGAATATCATCAGTATTCGGAAAGAAAGAATGATTATAATAAATGCCCTTGACAGTGGCTTTTATACTTCCACTTTCTGTACAATGAAAATAAATAAATTATTATCGAACAGATGCAATTAACCAGAGCCTTTAATACATACGGTACTTGAAATTATCGTTGGTTATATTAGCAATTTTATCCTGTTCTATCTTTGCGATATCATGCATATCCAAGGCTACAATTTCACGATCATCAGCACCAGCATTACGGGCATTGCGACTTATTTCTTTAGCCTTTTCTTGTTCTTGCAAGAATCCTTGCTCATCCACTCCGAGACCATTTTCTTCAGCCATTAATCGTGTCAAATCAACT